TTACAGTCGATCCCCCTATAAGATCATTGATTTTTCCGTTTTATCTGAATTACATGTTGTACGAGTCACTTAGATTTTACAAATACGTGTGCCGGGCTGTGAACGGCTCACATATTTGTAAAATCTAAGTGACTCGTACAACATGTAATTCAGATAAAACGGAAAAATCAATGATCTTATAGGGGGGTCGACTATATATAGATAATAATAATAATAATATAAATTTGGGAGAAGTCATTCAATAAGTTAAATATAGGAAAACAAAATTGCAAAGGAAAATGAACCAATTCACTTCATTTTTAACTGACGGCTGGAGAGATGTCATTCTGTACTTAAGAATAATTTTTGTGATTCTAATAATATGAATGAAAACATCTCCATGAATACATTGATTGTGAAAACTAAATTAATTAATGTAAAATATTCTCATTGAAATACATTATGATAATGAAAATTGAAAGTGGGTGTTTATTATAAATGATACTTTTAAAAAATGAACCATTTGTATTGGAGTTTTAGGAATTTACATAGAATACTTATGCAAATAATAACGTTTCACTGTGATGTGCAAATTTATGTAGGAAAGATATTGTGCAATATTTAATTAGAATTGATTGTAGTCTCCATGTGATTGAATGCAGGTTTTTATTCTCTTATGCATTATTTCATAAAATTGTACTTGATTCCGAAGATGTTATTCTGAGCTTTGTCAGTCAAACTGCAACTGGGGCACTTGTAAGTGTAGAATTGGAAGAAAACTGACATCAGCTCCTAATCATGTTCCAAATATACTCAAACGGAGACAAGTTAGTGATCTAGCAGGTCATGAGAGAACAAGAACATCACATCTTAGGCATCTTAGGCAGTTATGTGAGTAGAAAGAAAACACTCCTTATTAATGGAAGGAGAGTTCAAGAGGAAGCATACTCTACAGTGAATAAATTTCCTTGATAAAACAATTATTGTAACATGTCACAATGCCTGGCTGCAATTTTTAATAATTTTAATTTAATTTAAAATATATGCTTTCCACCTGAAATTAGTAGTCTTTGCCCCTGTACATCATACTTTTCCTTTAACAATAGTCGTGCCGGTTATCTTTAACATTTTTCGAGGTGGATTTTTGAATCGAAATAACATGACTTCCGGTTTGCATCGGAAGTTCGTATGTAGTTAATCGTTAAGGTTTCCATATCTGGTCTCGTCTTTCATTTATCTAACTCCTTGAAACTAAGGAAAGACAGACGGAAAACAGTGGGAATTTATAGGTCTACAATTTTTTAAAATTTCAGTCCAATTAGTACTACTGTAATGGTATAAGATCACAGAGGTCTAAAAGCGACAGCCGCGGTTAAGGTAGCAGCCTACCGCTCTGGGGGACCCGAGATCGAATCCGGACGGATCGAGAAATCCCTAGGAATTTTTCGGAGGTGGTCCGTCCGGATAAGTCGGGCCTCGTCCCTCACCACCCGGTGGGCCTGGCCGAACCCATAATGGGCTTACTAAAAAGAGGCCCTCTTAGTGCCCACAGGGAGAAAAGAGTTTTTAAAAAAGCCTCCATAACACGAATATGTTGCCATAAAGCTAAATAGGGTAAATTGAAATTCACGATCAGGATTGGAACAAAGGAATTAATACTTTGACAAAATTTAAAGCGATTTATACCAATGTTAAATACTTAATTCTCCTAACTTTAATTACTTTTGTAATTTTTGCTTTTATTGGTATGTCTTCATTCCTTATTATTCAATTTAAAGGAAACAAGCAGTCCTTCGCTTGCTGCCCTTCGTCATTTCCAGACGAATAACCCACGTGGAGATGGCTGTTTCAGGGTTCCACCAAGAGTTGGAAAGAATGCAACTCCACAAGTGACTAACATCACTTGTCGAGTTTCATTCATCTTAACTCACACTATAAAAATTGAACTTTTAATATCAATCATGTATCTGTACCAATGTGTCATGAACTTGTCCCCGGGTCCCACGTCGGATGCTTCCAATGAAGGTGTGCTCCCGGGCACAAGAATATTCTTTCGAAGTATAGCAACGACGACTCTAGTGTTAATAAATTCTAAATGAATACCTTTACAACACCATTCCTGTAACTATACCAATTTTCATATTATATATCTTCGTTTTTCAAGTCTACATCATGTTTTCTGCATGTTGTTTCGTAATGATTATCTCCATATCTTCTGTGTCAATCGTTCATATGGCTGGACAGATCGCAGTTGTTCGCCTTGAACTGAAGAAACTGTAATTATTTTTTATTAAAAATTCGAACTGAGTGATGAATTCCAATTTCTTAATCAAATATAACTACGTTTGTAGAACTTACACTGGATTATTAATGTTTTAAAGCAGAATTAAATGCATAACTCTTAGAATATCTAAAACTATCTTCAATGTTGTCGATGAGTATTATTTCTTTAATAATTAAAGAAACAATATTATTATTAATTAATAATATTGGTCGAAACAATTGTTGGAATGGTTGTTTAATTCTTAAATTTTTTGTCAAACGTTTCGAGATTTATTAATATTATTATTTTTTTTTTTTTTTTTCCAAATTACTGTAATTATATAAACTATTTAAATAATTCAGTGTTAAGCTATGTACCGGTACCTTATGTGGTGTTATTCCTGTGTTAGAATGACAATACATTTTTTTTCTAACTTGTAGCGTTGTGGAGCTTTTCTCTCGGGATTAATTTCGCAGTTATGGAACTATTTTTAATTATTTGGAATCTCCAGATATTAGTTACATGGGAATTTAACGAAGAATTTTTTAAAAATTTTACAAAGTAATGTAAACAGCTGAACTAACTTGAATATCTTACAAAATAAATATAATAAAATTTATTACTATTATAATTCAATATTAAGCTGACCTTAAAGTATCACTCACGACGTCAGTGTGTTCATCCAAGTTCGATTATGGAATGTACAGGTATTTTTTAAAGTCTTTCCGCACTGTAAGCACTAAGAGGGCCTCTTTTAGCAGGCCCATTATGTGTTTGGCTAGGCCCACAATGAAACGGCCGGGTAGTGAGTGATGGGGTCCAACATATCCGAACAGACCACCTTCCGAAAAATTCTAAGTCTTGTATGAAATCCAGATTCTATACAGGACTAAGGTCACCCAGGGAGTTAGCCTATACAGGGTAATCTAAAGTGATAAGCTGTAAATTAAACAAATAATAAACAGTTTATTTATTTTAATTCTAAAATAGATACATTGACATGAAACAAAGATATAAGAACTTGTTTATGAAAATAATCGCACAATATTTTAGAAAATACAAGAGAAGCGGCGCTTCCACAGCTTCCTTGGACTGCACGCTACTGATAGGCTTTACTTTTAATAAGATATAGCTGGATATTCTAAAGGTGGCATTTTCTTATGTTATTATTCCAAGATTTTATAATACTACTTGACAAAAATAAATTAGAAAATACAAGTTTGTAGAAGAAACTACGCAGAAAACCGAACATTTTGCATTAGACTTAATTCTATGATATTCTGTGAATATTTTGAACTACTTTGTGAATTGAACGGCGATATAAATATTTCCTGATAGATAATAACAGTGAAATATTACTAAAATTACAGAAGCCAATTTTGCCAATTATTTTCTACAAAAAAAATTCAGGTTTTCTTAATTTTATTTCGGCTATTTTAGGCCAAATTTGATTACCCTTTTTTTAGTTTGGCGTAAAAAAACATTTGATGCATTGACTACTTTTTGGGCTACAAAAATTTGACTTGCTACATATCTATTTACAAATATATACTATATTATTTTTGCTTCAATGTATATATATTGGTTTACAAATCAATGTTTACATATTGGTTATAGAAATCTATTAGTCAACTTTCAAATTACAGTACTTAATTGTAGTTTGATAAGTTTTTTGAAATAGTAGCAAATTAGTAATTTAAGAATATTAAATAGGAAAATACATTTTTAGTTCATCTTGGCGAGATTATTTGTTGTGTAATTCGTTGCATTCTATTTTGCATATAAAATGAATGTTCTCGACATATCAGTTAATTACAATTTATGCATGTATTTTGAGTCTTGCGATCCTTATTTTCGGATTAATTTACAGGTCTGAAGCAAGACTGCAAATTAATCCGAATTATAAATGTAAAAAAGAATTCTCATACAGAACTTAAACCCACATATTAACACTCTTCTTGCAATGTTTTAAATAATCACGCTACGCCATAAACGAATACCTTTTGCATGGGAATTAATAATCGTGATTTTCTCGAGAATGCCTGAATAGTGAGTGGGTCCTGCGGCTTTGGCAGAGTTAAAGAATAAATACTATACGTTTACAAAATTTCGTCGAAATCGGTGATGACAACCTCCCGTGTTCCCCTTGTTAGTGATTTTAATTGTTACGTTTTGTTCTTTTGTAATAAAAAAAACAAATTGCAACATTATATTGTTCGGTTGCAAGTAATTGAATTTTAATTCTTGAGAATAAATATAAAAAAACTTAATTGTTCAAAAAAGAAGATTACTTAAGTCGAACGAAAAAAATGTCATCTTCGATAGAAGCTAATTTTAGAGTTAAGAGCTTTTCTGTTCTTATGGATATCAGCGAATTCCCCAAAGAAAATGTTAATGTTAGTACTGATGGAGGATGGTTGGTGGTAAGTGAGCGTGTAAATATAGTCAAATTATGAAATCATACATAAATCAGTACATTTTTTTTTTTATAGATTACAGCAAAAACCGTGTCGAATGATGTAAAATTCGAATATCGCCTTCCCCCAGGAATAAAGGCCAATAACATAAGTCAAAAAATAGTCAACGGGATGCTGATAATTGAAGGAAAACTGTGAAAATCCGAGAGTTTCAAAACTACGAAATTATAAATTTGTTCTATATCAAAATTTTTCATTAATTTTAATTATTCGAATTTATTTTATTCGGTATTGGTAATTTTAAGGA